TTTAAAAAACATTATAATGACAACGGGACTTCAGTTCAATGAGTTTGTTACGCAGACGCTAAGCGGGGACGATTTGTCTAATTTGGTCACTGGCCGACGAAAACGGAAATAAAAAAGCTCTATTTTCTAGATAGCGCCTTTCTGTGCTTCCGTAATCGACGGTAAGCTCCTGTACAAGTAGGCATGATGAGAGAAATTCCAACCTAGGAATCTAGAGCCCCAAGCGGATATCCGCGATCACGTTTCGACTTAAAATCAATCAATGTGCTCGCCCAACACGATTTCCAACTGTGATAAAATTTAAACTTGAACTTTTTTTTATTAGTATAGAAAATTACTTTAAATCATCTAATAAGCTCAATTGTAATATTGACCCCATAGTTTTGCTATCGGCATCGATTGTATTTTAGTGATCGTATCTCCGATAATGAAGACATGTAGTTTAAGACTGACAATGAGTTCCTTGGGTAAGAATAAATACTATCTGTCTTGATCGTAGATTTAATGATGTGAAATTAATGAATCTTGTTGAGCGGAAGCGCATAATGAAACTGCATTGCGCAGTGATAGTGAGTTGTGTTGTCGCATTTTACTAATTTGTTAAACCATGAAGCTACTATTCTATCCAAGATAGACTGTACGTTGTAGGAATCATGGGATAATTAAACACACCCCTTCTTTGCTCTTCTTATTAAACTAGCCTACTTTCATTGCTTCAGCTTCATTTTTTGCAGACGATCAATGTTAAACATTAGAATATTAAATATTTTTATCCTGAACATAAATTATTTTTGACCATGCTGGGTATTTTGCCCTATCACCGGCATGAATGCTTGTGTTTTAGTATACCGGTACGGGTACTGGTATTGGGTATTTATATTGCGCCTTTCCTTTGCGGTTATGAAATAATTCAGGAAAACAATGGTAGGCATAAAATCAGTCATTATTCAGGAACCCCATATATACATGTATAGTATTTATCCTGCATTGTGTAGCCCTACATAATAGTTAGGTGGAATTGGAATATGCCTATGGTAATATTTGAGATCAGGGGCGGATTTAGTGGGTGGAGGGGGAGGGGGAGACCCTTTGGAAAGAAAGAAAAAGAAATTATTGATCTCCCAAAACGCCTCAGAGATTTTTTCCGGGCGTCTAGAAAACAAAATTTCCCAGAGATGACCCGGACCTCACTAGGGTAGTGTTGTTTCTCAGTCCCCACCCCCACCCCCACTTTCGGCCCTCCCCTGTTCGGACATCTCTGTGGACTCAAGTGGACGACCCAAAAATATTTGTGTGAAAAACCATTGATAAGGCACTACAATATTAAAATATATTGGGTTTATATGTGCTCCAAATCGCTACGACCGACAGGATACGGTATATCTTGCTGAGTGCGCCACATCGTAAGCCTTCAAGCGTCCAGGATGATGATGGTAACGATACCATAGTGATAAACTAAGCAAAACGACAAGATAAATAGATAATAATATATTAGTAAGCTTACAATACAATAGGATGCATCTGTATGCCGTCCTACAAAATTGTTAGTGTGAATTTCCTGTGTCCCCTTCAAGTAAGTGTGTTGCTATATCAACATCAACTCAAACTTGATAATAGTGGTCTGTGAATAGGAGCAACTCATGAACTAGTAAAATGTAAGTTAACAATGCGTAATTGATGCATCGGATTCAACCGGGTCAAAAAGAAGTACTGTATACATTACAACGGAATCGTAATGTTGGCTACGAATGCAAAATAGCAGGAAATGATTTGACAGTCACTGGTGTGAAATGTACCTTAATGATGGGTTTACATTACATTTATATCTTAAATCATTCCTTAAGGTCTAATAGGCCTACATATGGCTATAAGCACAGTTCTGACATAGCGTCTGGGGCATCCAGATGCCACATCGTGTTTTCTTCTTCTGGAATATGAGGCATCGAGGTGACATATTGTTTTTCTACCATGTTACTAAAAAAGTCACAGTAATTTTCAGAGATTCTTTTCTTAAGCTTCGAAATTTTTTTTTTTTTTGACGCCCCACTTAGGTATGAGTACCACTGATCTAAAAGTCATTCCAACCCTTCAATTAGAAATATGCTTAAACTGTAGTATACTTAAATCACAAACACTACTACAACCTGTGTATTGTATGTGGTGACTTATTCGATTTGAAAATGGACATAACTTGCCGTAGCGTATGGTAGAACTTGTAATAACTATTATTATGTGCTTAAGCGCACAAGCGTCCCATTCTATAGTTCGTTTGCCTTTTAGCGGTTGTACAAAGACGATTCAAGAAGATTATGAAAAAAGTCGTCGCTAGGGATTGGCGTTTTTTTTGCAGCATCGAACATTAAATGATACCATATGGGAGCACGTGCTAGGTTTATAGGATCTATGGGTCTGCTTTTGGTGTATTCTTTCTTTTACCATGATAATAGTATTGAACCTGGTTAGTTCACGCGTCATTGAAGAGGTCGCACGGAGGGCTTAGTTTAGTCCAAATTATTTCGTCTTCCTTGCAACAGATTTTGGCTGGATAGTGTAGTGTGGGAAGATAACTCAGCGTACAAAGTCTATATTTGTATTGTCGTGGCTTCTCTACATAGCAGAGGTTTTTGATGAGGCATAATTACTGACCAGGATCAATAATCTGTTTAGGTATATACCACGTAAAATAGGTCTCAAATCGAACTGCAGACTTGGTAGGCCTACTCACTGATTAATTTTAATATATTTGTTAATGTATGCCTATACCTATCCGGGCCTAGCGAAAATTAACATTTTTCCAGTTATTACTATCATATGATCATGTATTTTCAGTTCGTTGCTAAATTACACTGTTCAATTCATTTACTCTCGTGAGAGAACACATCCGCAATCCATGCCCTCTGTAAGACCTATTAATAATAATTGAAATATAATAGGCTTTTGATTATGTCCGTCTATCACCGTGACTACAGGCTTTGAAAAACAAATGCTCTAAAATAATGTATGCTTACTGACCGAGAAGTTGAATGACTATAAAAGATACAATAGTCGCATTGCGACATTTAGAGAAGAAAAGGCCTAATCGCGTCCCGCTTTATGAACAATATACAGTACTATTATTACAGATACTAAAGTGTCTGTGCTATTACTATCTCATTACCAAAATCGAGGCTTCATGTTTGATGGATACACAAAGGTAGGCTGATGTTGTAGTTCAACTGAGCACATATACCGCACGTTAAATAAATGCGACTGTATATTTTAAGAAACCATGACTCAGATGACTTCACATTTTATTAATACGCATGTTATATATGCATCGCCTACACGACCGTAAGCGACGGATAACAAAGTAAAATTCGAAGTGTTGTTAATTCGTGTAATGCATTACATGGACTAGCGTAGTGATTAAACACAAGTTATAGATTACGTGTATATAGAAAATGATAAAGTGATCGAGGACGTACTCGACTAACGATGTTTGTTTGAATTGTCGCTTTCCACTCTGAGAGAGGCCTACATTTGTGTAAGCAGGAGCGTGTATTTTAAAGAATTTTGACGGAAAACATAAAAGATGTACTTTAACTCTCTTGTCAACAAAATATATCAACAAATAAAATCAATAGGTCTATATTGACAAAAGTGATAAGGTAGGACTATAGTTACAAAAAAAAATCAAAGCTTAACACCGACTTGATAAATTTATCCCAAAATAATAATTTTCTACAAATATACAATCTTTCTAATTAAAATAAAACGGGAAAATTGCGACATTAGAGAAGAAATAGGCATAATCGCGTCCTGTTTCATCAACGATATACAGTATCACAGGACTGGGCTGCACACCCTGGCAGACGACTTACCGTTAGACATAATTCCCTATAATTAATTTCTTCCTCATATTATATTTGGTTGCCCTTAACCAGTAGTTTTATATACGGTACTCAATTAATTTAAATCCAGGCTCTGAAGGTATAAACTGGTTATTGCACAAGTACGATAAATTTTCTAAGACACTGAAAGGGTGTTTGTCGATACACTCTTGAACGGTTAACCACAGAGTTTTGGAATATTTAAAAGCAGGGGGAAAACGTACACACAAGATAGGCCTATAACTTAATTTAGCTCGGTTCTAGCCAGGCGTGGCCTTATATAATTTCATAAACAGGATTACAATCAATTTACTTTTATTCCAGGTAAGCCTATAGGGCCTATATAACATTAGAGTATACAATCAATTTCACTCATTCAGAGTAAGCAAAAGAGGCCTCCAAAATGATGTAGGCATACAGTACCGGTAGGTTACTGCTCTATGAAATTTAGTAAGTCGTCACTTATTATACTCTAACCATACGTCATGACCATGAGTTAACCATCTTGTGATTAGATGTGTTGTAGCACAACTTCCATTTTAGCGTACGGACACAAACCTATTTTAACCGCAATATGACATCATTCTATGTGAAGGCTAATTAATTATTGTATGTGTTACAACATCACACATGTCTACAGTCTATCTGTAATACAATAAATTTTAACACTATCAGCTGCTCTATACAATAAATATTAACACCTGAATATGAACGGAAGCATTTTTACAAGAATTATTCAAATAGGTCTAGGGTGTCGATATTACCATCTGCTATTCCCTGTGAAACGATACAACTCGCTCACTAATAAATTCATATCTATTCGGATATCAGCTTATATACATTGTAAGATATTTATAGAACTATAACATACGGTTCATAGTTCAATCCCACTTTTGTCTGGCTCTGAAATTTTGATCGGCGCATCCGCACAATCGGAAGAAAAATTACGCTTAGAAAGAAGAGCTGACATACAGTTCCGTCCTACCATCATATCATAAATTTTGAAATTAATAGCATCATTTGCTGAGGTGTTAGGATGGTGAGAAAATAGCGACCAAATACTCGTCTGTAGAATATAAAAACTTAAGTAGCAACTTGTACAATTGCATAAATAATAGACCTTTAATTCAATTAGTAAGATCATAGACCTAGCAAACTTTGTAGCCAGCCTGGGGCATCCGTATGACGCATGCTCATTAGTACATTGTTCGACTGTTCCCCCAGGTAAGCCTATGGCTCTGCATGATCACGTTCAAGTATCCTATCGCATAATGATACCCCATTACTGCTTTGTAAGTCAACATTGACTTAAGCTACATATTATTTACCCTGGCTATAAATTGTGCTTCTGGTTCAGAGCCTAATTATTGCCGGTCAACCTCCAGTACCCTCCAGTGGTCTCTTTGAGACAAGTCCCCTCACAATAGACCCAGACCGCCTGACGTTCATCGAGTGTATCGTCATGATAAGAGGGATAAATGATCCGGAGAAATGCCTTTATGTGTTGAACTGCTGTGGACCGTGGACGGTAGACATTCGACTCGTGGACATTGAGTTGTGAAAATCGTGTAGAAAATGGGAGCAAAACTTCGGCAGCGCGAGTACGGTAGGTGCTATTATTTCGGGGTCTCTTTTTGTTTTCAGCTTTAATTTTATAATGAGTGCCGATGTCACTCAGATTTACACCCATGGTTTCGGTAACTGATCTTAAATTTACATTCAGCTGAGCGATTCCTGAATTTCGGAAAGGGACGGGTTATGCTTTTCTGAATCTTTAAAATAATTGCCATTTCAAAAGCTTAAACGTCATTAATTAAGCTACCATCAATAGTCTTACTGCATGCCGTGTCTCGACGGGCTTTCACTATTAGAGTCATTATTACTCTATATAGGCCTTTGATTGCTTAGCAAAGGAGAAGGTATCGATAAGATACTGGAGTGGATCTAGGGGGGAAAAACAAAGAACACGGCGGTGCCCCGTGGTGTTAGAATCTATTACTAATTATGTAAATTGCACATTTCAATTCCCCCAACTCTCAATTTTCACAGAAGGCTGTGTTCAGGGGAAACAAACTATTAAAAGTATCCGCTCTGAGGTTGCCATGGCGATTGATCTCGAGGGAAACTGCGGCTTTCTCTTTCAACGAACTCATAAAAGAACTAGAGTAGGAGATGCATTAATCGACTGTATTATATCTCATCTTTATGCATTTTATATTTGCGTGGACAGATGCCAAACATTTTGTTGGCTACACGACAAACTCAGTGCAACGACCTCACGATCTGGGCAACTTAAAAGTTTAGTGAGACGATTTCTAGCAGAATTCTTCTCTTTCTTATTTCAGCTGCCTGTGATGAGCTTAAACTTTAAACCTAACATTTTATTTTCCCTTGTGGTTCTCCAATAAGTTTGAAAAAGTACGGCAGTGACTTTCTTTAGCTTTTACATTTATTGATTGATTGATTGGATGTTAATTAATTAACCGGCTAGACTATATCGAATACTGTACCGCCTGTCATAAATCAGATGTGAGCATTTTCGAACAAACTTGAAACATAATTTGTGGGATTAAAGTGTTAGTAATTACGTTTTAACACCGACATTGACTGAAACAATCCCGCTATTCAGCTTGGTCTTCGGTCGTTTCTTTCCCGATGACACTGCACCTTGCGAGAATAAATCCTATTTTTGACAGACACTGGTCTTTAAGTGATCTGTTGTGATCATTATAGATGCATTCAAAACTCCATTTGACGACTGAGTTGGCGCGCGAGCTGTATTGTTTATTTAACTACCTTTCATTCTTCAATCATAGTCGTAGCTGTAACAGTTACAAGGCCATGGCTAGCATATTATGCAAAGAAATATGTAATATGTGTACAATACGTATAATATTAAAACGACAGTTGCATAGGCCTATGTCTACAAGATCGATCAAGGTGCAAGTAGCATTCAATCACCGCCGCGAATTATTAAATTAGGCCAACTCCTGTAGTAGAATGTAGGCCTATGTTACTATGCAGTAATCGATCGCAATAACCTATAAAGAAGAGTAACCGTGATGGAATATTAAGCTTGCTTAATATAGGCATGATGTTGTAGCCGTGTATAACGTTCAGTGCTGACATTGCGAACTTTTTTCTGCAATTATTATTTTTTTTTTCGAGTGGTCTTTATTTCGTTGTCGGCTACTACTGTACACTACAGTAGGCTTTTGCACAGTTATAATGCCTGCATAAATATCGTTTCAGTTACAGCTTTAGACTTGAACGGCAACACAAGTCCCCCAGGACACATTGAGAGACGTTTGTCTTACACTTACAAAACAATTTCTTACTAATTACTAACAATTAATCCTGGCTGTAGGCTGCGACGGTAACGCAGTACAACGATCCCGATTTTTGATCCGGATGCTCTGGCACAAAATTGCCCCGGGAATGTTATGATTCACAAATGTGTGTTGTAAATTTAGAATTTCGGAGTCAATACCTTCACCCGCGGTTATTGATCTAAATTGTTGAGGTTTACTAATGGGTACGCGTCTGGTTTTTGGTACCAGATTCAAAGATATATAGTACATCTTGACAATGACATGGTTAATGTCCATTATTGATAACTGTGGTATATGGCTATGATTTATATCAACGAGTTTGATATCGTTCATTATTATCTCGTTTTTTACACGAATAGGTAAACTATTATGGTCGTTAACCTACAGCATAGAGAGCCTACAGGTATATCATTCGTCACACTTGGGTTGTTAAATGTCAGTGCAATATAAGTAGGCCTACCTGCTAATTAAACAGAGTTGAGATTGAATGATATGAGGAAGCTGTACATGTGTTTAGGCAACTTGGTCAAGCATAATGTTTGTAATAAATCAATTGTGTTGTTGATATACCGTAATCACCATAAATTAAACACTTGCTGTTTGTTTATATTTTCGCAGGTAATTGGGGAGATATGGAAGTGAACGTGTGGGTGAACAATCGAGAAAAGAAGGTAAAAGGACTGACAAAACGAACAACATGCCATGACGTCATTACAGCACTTCTGTATAACAAAACCAAGGCTGATAAACTTGCAGACGATTACATCGAATCTTATGTTATTATTGAGCAGTGGCGAGAATGCGAACGAGTTTTACCACGGAATACAAAAATTATCAAAATTTGGCGCGCTTGGCACAACGAGCAGACGAATGTAAAATTTATTTTGAGAAAGAAAACGACTGAAAGTATTACGAATGACAACAAACAAACAAAACCAAAAGAAATTCCACCAAGGATTTCGCGAAAGAGAAGACCTGGAGAAAAGAGTTGTGGCAGGAGAGCACACAGTGTCGAACGTAGTGACCAACAAGATAATGTGAAATGGCTAAATGAACAAAATAATCACAGAATAAGTCGAAGTAATGACGAGCTTCTAGATAGCCAATCATATCGCAGCATATCACTTGCGGACGTCGTTGCTCCTGCTTCTGATAAGCTTATGGAGCTTGTGATCGGGCAAGAAGAACAAATACAGAATCTGATGGAAACTATTCGACAGACCGATTTAGAGATCGAATATTACGAAACACAGATGCACGTATGCCGTATGTACGCAAACGGAAAAGATTATGTGCAGGAATCATACTTATCCGCGAATGGTGACAATGATGTTTTAGTATCGAACGATAAATACCATGCAGTTTCCGGCGGTTGTGAAACGCAGTCACGTGAGTCGATAGAACTACAAAAGAAGACTTTTATAAATCAGTGTGTTTTGGATATGCCTGTAACTGATAAAGACTGCAATGAAGTAACTCAAGGCAGGATACTTTCGTCAGAGAAAGAGTGTGCAGATAGTGACAAACTGGTAACGATTTCCAATGTTACATATGAACCTTCTATTAGAAAGAGTAAAAAACACGTGACTTTTGCGAAACTTGACAGCGAAGGAAACCGAATTTGCGCCGATTCCATAGAAAGTTTGAATGAAATTGGTATCGATAGAAAAACTACACAGATAATGCCTACATGCTATGAAACAAATGAGCTGGAAAATAGACATTCACCAGTGGAACTTAAAAGAAATATAACCACGCAACCTGACGAAACATTAAATCGGTTAAATTGTGTTAAACCGAACAATAATATTAAAGGCATTTTACATGTGAATAACAAGCATACGATGGCGACTCATCAGCTAACTGAATCAACCATTTGGGATCAGGCTAGTAACGATACAGACTCAAGTTCCGATACTGGTTTAAGTTCAATGCAAGACTCAGAAGATGGGGGCGCTGTTCATTTTGCCTCTGTAACACTGGTTTAAAAAAAAAATATAACATGAAAACAGAATATAAGCCTACCGCTAAAGAAAATATTTATTTATGTAGCTGTCTGTTTAGATGTATGTATGTATTTATTTTATTTTCTCGAGTCAAGTTATATTTTTTTATTGAACTTGTAATTGAGTAAATATACAAATTCTGACAAATGTTGTAATACCATGATTAATTATTAAGATTAGTACAGAATTTGAAATACCATTTGATAACAATTTGAAAGAATTATATTGATATGGCGATTTGTATAAATTAAATGATTGTGTGAAAACGACTGAAATAGCTCGAAATAGTGTGACTCTTTGCCTGTCAGTTGTGTGAATTATTATACAGTACGGACTAAAGCTTCCTTTTTATAATTGTAATTCATTAAATAGTGTTATATCATAGGCCCTATAGCAGTGGATCACAAGGTATTATCAAGTGCATAGGTTGTCCAAAGTGTTCATGTGAAAATAATGATGTGTCGTATTTATTTTCTATGCTTGTTGAAAATGCAAACATTCTAAGCTCCTGCTACTTTCATTGGCTACAATTAATTAAATAATCTTATTGAGCGTAAGAGATGTTCCAAGTTTTCATGTGGAAATAATGATGTGTCGTACTTATTTTCTATGCTTGTTGTAAATGTAAACATTCTAAGCTCCTGCTACTTTCATTGGCTACAGTTAATTACATAATCTTATTGAGCGTATGGATGTCCCACGTTTTCATGAGGAAATAATGATGTGTCGTACTTATTTTCTATGCTTGTTGAAAATGTAAACATTCTAAGCTCCCGCTACTTTCATTGGCTACAATTAATTACATAATCTTATTGAGCATATGAGATGTTCCATGTTTTCATGTGGAAATAATGATGTGCAGTATTTATTTTCTATGCTTGTTGTAAATGTAAACATTCTAAGCTCCTGCTACTTTCATTGGCTACAGTTAATTACATAATCTTATTGAGCGTATGGATGTCCCACGTTTTCATGTGGAAATAATGATGTGTCGTACTTATTTTCTATGCTTGTTGTATATGTAAACATTCTAAGCTCCCGCTACTTCCATTGGCTACAATTAATTACATAATCTTATTGAGCATATGAGATGTTCCATGTTTTCATGTAGAAATAATGATGTGTCGTATTTATTTTCTATGCTTGTTGTAAATGTAAACATTCTAAGCTCCCGCTACTTCTATTGGCTACAATTAATTACATAATCTTATTGAGCGTATGGATGTCCCATGTGAAAATAATGTTGTGTCGTAATTATTTTCTATGCTTGTTGAAAATGTAAACATTCTAGGCTCCCACTGCTGGCTACAATTCATTATTAAAATTCAATTCAAATGTTATTTTTGGATGAACATAAATACAAGGAAATGTGAAATAATGATGTTGTCGTAAACATTTATAAGCTCCCCATTCTGCTTATTGGTCATAGTACGCAACACAAGCCTACAGTATCTAAGTACAATTTCGGCAAAACAACGACTGTTACTTTAAACATATACTGCCATTAGCAATAAAGAATACATATGAAACATTAACATAACAACTTATTATTGTTTGAAATGTATAACCACATAATTTATTAATTCTCAATAATAAAATAAAATAAATTAAAAAAAATGCCAAGATTTAAAAATGCTTGAAATTTAAGATGCTTTGGAGTTAGACATATATTTTTCTAGTTATAATTTGTAGTTGAAAGCTATTAACCTATATTATAATCATAATTCCCCCCACTCCCCAGATAATTTTCTTACCCCACCCGCAGTTTTGCCGGAAAAAAGAGCATTTGTAAGATTTGCCAACAAAATTAATTGCTCCGAGGTCTGTCTCTCACATTAAGCTCATTGGCTACTTAAAAACAAAACATTTAACAAACTTTTTACATTTTAATACGGTATATATTGAGCATATAAATGAAAAAGCACATTAAAAGAGTTACCTATTATTTTTTTTATTTAGTTACTGTGTATCATAATATCGTCAAAATGTTAAAATGTCTTAATTCCGAAATAATATTAAATACCTAATTCCTTGATGTTATTTGTAGTGCCCAAGTTCAATATGAATATTTTTTTTCTTGTATTTTGCATTTGGGAAGGCCTATAAATTATCACCTCCCATAAATTGATGATTTTCATGTTTTCATATTGTGCAGGATAATATATTGGCTTGTATAGTATAGTAACTTATAATTTTTATACATTTCCAAAGATGGATAAATAATAAAGCCTGTCGTAATAGTTTTGTTTTATGCCAGAATTAAGCATTGATCTTATACAGATTTATTGTAGACTACAAAATTATGCCATCAGTCTATTTTCCTCAAAGACGATCTGACCTTTCATCTTTAAGTCAATGGCTGTACTACATTAGGCCCTACCATGGAGGTATATGGCCCTACTAAATGATTCTCTTAGAAAACATGTGGTAGACATTTATACTGTATTAATTTAAGTAACTAGAGCATTCCTGGTTTTAGCAGCCATATTGGCGGCCATGTTGGATTTTCGCAACTTCGAGTGGCCAAATATATTTTTTTGGTGCGGTACAGTATTTTTAGACCACAAAATTGTTTTCACACATACAATATTATGGGAGTTATGGAAAATATTTAGATTCGAAGGCCATCTTAGGGAAACAAATTTGATATGAGATTATCATCAATGTTTGCTACGACGACATTGTTATGCATGCATTCAGACACGCCATGTCATGTACTTACTGGTAATAAAATCTTCAGTGAGTGAGCTTACCGCTCGTTAAATCCGTACAAATGAATGATAAATATCAATAAGAGTCGAAGATCAAGGGAAGACAAATCTACCGATGGTATTTCAGTTAGGCTCATAATACAACACATACTTGATGTTTCATTGTAGACCTATATTTTTAACATTTAAAAAATGTGCTGTATGAAAGTTTATACTGTTCTTGTATATTAAACATCTTGTAATATGCAACTGTACTGCTGGATGTGTGATGAAATAAATAAATAAAAATAACTAAAATGATAGTAACTATCGTTTAAATAACCACTGACTGCGTGCTTTCTCTACTTTACGCCTCACTCTATGTCAAATATTGCTATTGCCTCTTTTTTTTAAAGACAAAAAAAAACATTTAAAATTAGAAATTAGACATGCCTTTGGATGATATGATGATGATGCTGCTGATGATGATGTTGATGTTTCATCCTACATGGTAAAAAGTAGAATGAAATAGTTCAGGAAAACTTTATTGTAGGCTATAAATATTTCTGTATACCCTCCAACAACATATTAAATACAATGCCATTACGTGCTGAATGTGCTACCACCCCATCTGTACTGTGGCATTCTGAGTCAATGCAATTTAAATCATTACTATGATAAAATGAAATCTAGGTCGGGCCTTAGTCGGTCGCAAATCACATAGTGATTGGAAACTATGGCCTAGTATCTAATAGGCCGACATATTATTTGCTCATCAGAAGATGTGCATGTCACAGAACTAAAAATTGAAGTCATACATCGAGACATCAGATGCCTTTCTTTGATCAATTTAGGCCAATGTCAAGGACTTTTGAAAATTTATAGGCTTACACTTGACTGAAAATGCCTATTAATGATAATGAAGCTGTAATTATGTGACTTTGCGTCGGTTTACCGGGTAGCCCAGGCACGAAGAGACCCTAAGTAGAGAAGCAAGTTACTGTAAAAGGACGTAGTTCACACCTCGATCGCTCTGAGAACGTTTTGGTATACAGAGCTATAGGCCTATTATAAATCGCCAGACAATTACCGTACTCCATTTAATCTAATACGAGTGTATGATCTCATATTCTCATAAATTATCTACGGTACCGTCCGGTCATAAGTTCTTTACAAGGAATCGAAATTACGAATTTATTATAATTTCAAAGATCCAAAAAAAAAATAAAAAAAAATAAAAAAATAGGGGGATTAAAACGAATCACTGTTTGATTTCTATCCCATAATAAAACATCTAGGCATCTTTCTTCGAAATTGCTGTCCGGAGTTTTTATAAGTTTACATTATAACTTGGACTGTACTGGAGCAAACATCCATCCATGGACAGAAGATAAGTATTAGAGATGGGCAGACAATAGCAAGATGTGAAATCAACCATCTTCATTATCTTAGCGATGCTCTTAGTCTCGCTTACGGCCTGGCCCTTAATCCCACTAATGTATCATCCCCTTACAGATATTAAGACAGCTCTTATTTTACATTTTAATTTAATTTGCTTAAAAAGATGGCGGTGTTTATTTAAATTGGAATTTTGATTGTTTTTTAATGTGATTGTGATTTTTTTTTTTTTTTGATAGCGAATAATTGCCCTCGATGGATACCAATAATGGCACTCGATGGATATCAATAATTACCCTCGTTGGGTAGCAATAAATGACTGAGTCTCGGTTCAGGAGATGATGAGAGATCAAAACATTTACAAGCAGTACATAGAAGTTGGTATACTGTAGGCAAAAACAGAACTTTAAGTTTGGATGAAGAGGCTTTCCTTTGGAGTAGAATGGCGTGGTAGATGGCAATAATAATGTACTGTAGTCAAATGCATTCTGCCCTTTAAAGTTCTTTTGTGTGTACTCGAACACTCCTAAAGACACAAATGATAGCCTACTAATTCACATACAGTACTTATTGTTCCTTATTAATTAGCACTCTAATCCTGCTCAATTACGTATTCTTGTAATTAGGCATGTTTTTTTTCGAACACAATCCAGCACTACTGTATATCAAATTATTGTTTAGATTCAATTGGCATGAACACATTTGCGAACATATTTACATCCTGTGCGCAAATTTAAATTTTGCACATGTATAATATATTTATTTAACGTAAATGTTATTATAATATATATATATAACATAAATGATATATATATATATATATATATATATATATATATATATATATATATCTTATTATCGTTTATTCACTATTATAAATAGTAATATTATAACATTTTAGAGAGCTATTATCTTCGTTGTTTCAGAACATACATTATTTGCCTATTTTGCTTGCCCCTTTTATGTTCCATTATCGGCATTGGTATTGGTATAGGCATTTATAATGCACCTCTTCCTTGAGGTTATAAAGCACAGTTCTTTTCCCTGGTCATTGGGTCCACATGCTAAGTGTTGCTGTTGGTAATCAGCGCAGGAGCAGGCAACCCACCAGGTTCCCATTTATACTCCTGGGTGAAGAGAAGCAATGCAGATAAAGTGTCTTGCTCAAAGGACACAAGCAAAATGCACAGCGAGAAATTGAAACCCCGACCTCAAGGTTGGGAAACCAAACCGTTCCACGGCCTGTTAAATTTTTCGTAATACAAAGCATAATAGGCAAATACGGACTTCTACTCTATCAGACTTGTAGTTTTTTATGTTTTCATTGTAAAAAAATACAGAATTGAATTTAATTGAACAATACAGTATATTAGAATTACAATTTGTAGAAAAATGAGTAAACTCCACACTCAGTGACACAAAATAACGAAAGCTCATTTCAAACTACTGTATATAACTTTTATTGGAAAGCACATTTCTAAACCATTTGTCCAACTTTGAATTGTCCATCTGGGTGATTGCATACAAACAGCTTAATTCTAACTACTCCTGGTTACTTCCTCATGCAAATCGATATCACAAAACTTGTTGAAATCACGTAATCTATAGCAAGCACAACGAATCGTCGGAACAAATCTACACCGAATAATCAACAACTATTAATAAAAGCTCCTAAGAAATTTGCTAAAATAGTCTGTACAACTGGCGAGTATCCAAAAACTTGTCAATTAAACATGTTTTAAAAAGACTCTCGTAACAGCTGGCATCTTAAGCCATGTTCACATTATTAGATATTAGTCCGTCAGACGAAACAATTGTTGATCAAACTTTATTTCACGAAACAGACTTGTCCGACTTAAGAAACAATTTGTTCGATTTTATAGGACCATACTGAAAAAAAGTATACACTGTCAAAGTTTGGTCAAACAATGTTAAGTTGGGTAGGATACACATCAATGTATTACTGACTTTAAATATGTGTTAACAATACATTTCAACACTTGATAGGGTTATGCTCTGTATTGTAACCAATCACATGAGAGACAGCTATGGATGTTGTATTTTAACAAACATAAATGGATGAATGTGACCCCCGACATGAATTAAGACGCCAGCATGTTAGAGAGCCACTTTCATTAGTAAAGAGAACTAACAGCGGATAAGGTGATTGGATTGTCACTCATCATACAACACATAACCATTACGTCGATACATATTATTTACAAAATATCCATCGAAAACCATACATTTTAAAGGCTCTGTTAACAATAACTTAAGAGTAAACTTTGTGAATGTTAGTTGCTTGTAACTACATGTCTCTAATAAAAACCCACGATTTGTATGACAAACTAACTGTTGTTTTAACAAATCCAAGCATTTAAGAAAAAATGATCACACTTTCCTCTTTTGGCAGCTGAAAAAATATAGTAGATAATTTTCTATCTTGGCATGTTGACAATTATTGATGATTGAATTGTATCTTTTACCAAGGGCTTTATATTCCTGAGTTAATATCTAAAGAGTACACTCCGAGTTGTGTAAATAAAGGAAAACAAAATTATTTTACGAAATGAAATAAAATGCGTAAATTAACTACCTTTGTCAAGTTAGATGACCTATCACTTTGATATATGCTGACAATACCCAATGACCACACTATAAAAGATAAAGCTAACATCATTATATGCAGAACATACACAATGGGCACATGTCCATTATCACAATACTGTGTTATAAAAAAAGGTAATTTTAAGGCGATTACAAAAGGTGGAGAAAGGATAAGCACCATAACAACATGCTACTCTTTAAAAGAGCTTTAAAAGTAAATAATGATCTTCGATCAAATTCGTTCTTTTCTTTTTTACAAATATAATTAACTATTTTGAAAGTGAATTACAAATTACAATTTCATGTTAAATGTTGTTAGATATTTTTTAGATTTTATGGTAATGAGTTCAACACAAGCAGAGCTTGTCATAATTAAATTTAATTTTAAATATAAATTGTAAAACAAATTAGAAAAACACATACACAAGTTGATTATCATTTTATAATAAACTTTGAATAAAAAAAAAAACAACTCCCACTAAATTTCCACATACAGTGTGGTATTCTATTTTTGCCAGAAGTGTTCAATTTATAAAATGATATTCAATAAGTTAGTTAATTGGAAGCTAAAGCTTGATTGTAAAATAATGCTGAATAATGCTGAATAAATGTAAATAATTATTAAAAATTAAACAATATGCTATGAACTGAATTGCATCATCTTTCGTGACTGGTTGACTCTAATCACCTATCTTGTTGGTTGAGTCACAATTATTACAGGTATTCAAATGTACCAAAGACAAGCCAAACCAGTCACTTTTTGCAAAAATCTGATTTTTAGTTATTAAATACAGGGTTTAGGCAGTAAAATAAAAGTTATAAAATGACAAAAGAATAATTTAAATCCAAGTTTAAATATACAGCTGTTTAAAGAACAGTATTTGAGAAATCAGCCTACAAAGTTTACAATTTCGGACCTTTCTTAGGCTAAGACCATCCTTAAATCGTAAAAATGTTGTTGTAACGTCAAATATGGAGAAAATATCAACAAAGCATGATGTATAGATATAAAGTTTAGTTTTGTGCAATAAAATACATTTTGAAAATGTTGACATTCCAACATGTTTTGGCCATTATCTCCGAAACACAATTTGTGAGCAATAACTGGTTTGGCTTGTGTTCGCCACAAATACAAATCAGTAATTCACTTTTAAAACATACATTTATCCTACTATCAATGCACCTTGTATTTTAGGCCTCCTACTGTAGCACGGGAAATTTCACTCCTCATTAGGGGCACAGCTGCAAAGATGGAGTTTTGCTTAGTCGAAAATGCTAAGTAATTTCACAATCAAAATAATACTACATCATCTTATGTCACTATTATCAAGTTATTGTTATATTCTTCCATATCATGCAAAAACATCCTTTGTTCCAGCTTCATCAAATTAATTAGTATTTTTTTTCTCATTACCTTTGTTTGTTAAATTAAGAGTCCACAGAAAAAATAGGAAAAAAAATGAAGAAAACAAATATGATGAACTATTGATTTATCATAAAAGCTGTTAGTTAGTACCAACGCTTATAACCCCCGGTGACTGACTGTCGACCTTCTGTGGTGATTCAATCACAGCAGTGGCATCAGTTGATGGAAGATGTTTGGTGTCTGATTGTCCATTTGTCACCTCAACCTTCTCCTGAATTAAAAAAAAATAGAAAACTTATAATAATATAAGCCACAGAATAATTGTAATAAATATGGCCAAAAAAAAAAATCTAAACTGTCAAATTTTTGTTGAAATTTTAGCATTTATATAGCGCTTAGTAAACTTTGTGTAGAAAATTTACGAAACAGTCGTCGGATTTTCTACACAAAGTTTACTAAGCTGGCTGAGACAACGCTGCAACTATGAAGTGGAATTCCCATTGAGTTATACCTTTGTCGTATAGATAATCCTACAATATTTTCATGTTTTTTGGTTAAATAAAAGATATAAAATGATGAATTAATAATACACTAGACACATGGTTTTATTTGTACAGTTTATTATGACATTGTAGGATATCCTGTAGGTAACACCTAAGTAGGAAAGAAATTATTTTGTACACCACAATTTAACCCCAACAAAAATACAGGTACATTTTTCTAGGCTAGACTCAATATATTTTTTCAACTTGTTTTTAAACCTAACCGAAGGATAACATTGAAAGAAGGCAAATGAATATTACCTTTGTTTGTTGACTTGTGTCCTCCACATTCTTTACATCATTTTCATTTTTTCCCTCAGTTGATAATTTTTCTATTTCTTCTGTGCTTGCCACCTGTTCTTTCCCAGCTATTTTTTCTTCACAAACTTCTAGATTAACAAAAAAATTTGGTCTGGGTTAAAAGTGGCAGCAATAGACACTTTAATGTGAAATCGATGAATAATTACTCAGTTTAAGCTGACACAAAATCAACTTGTGTTGGAAACCAAATCTTCAATTCTAAATCATATCTTCAAATCACTCTTTAATGTCTTACAATATCTAAAAATAGCACCAAAAAAAAATGTTTTTCTTTAGAGTCTGGCTTTAAATCTAAACTTGCACCTTAAAATGGACTACAAGAAATACATTTTAGCAGGGTGAAACAATTCAAGTCGGACTAAGAACTGTAAAATTTTAACTGCATACACAGTGATCAGAAGAATTTAAGAAAAAACATTGTGCAAGGCTAGCTCAAAATAAAGTTTAATTTTGAAATTATGAGCATCAGTGACATATTGCCAAGGTAAAGTGATACAGCATCAGTTATCTCAATTAGCGATTAAAAAGTAATCAATAATAATTAATCTTAAAGTCTGCACCTTGAATTTCTGCTTGTTTTAAATCTTCTTGGATTTCAACCTCTGCCGGTGCCTCTGTCGGTGTTGGTTCCTTTGTTGGTTCCTCTGTCGGTTTGTCAGTTTCAATTTCTACAGAGAAAACAAGCAGGTTTCAAGTTTTGTAACTTAGCCAATGCACTGTATTTCTAAGTAAAACAACAGTTAGAGGTCATAATCTACCTACCTGCTGTTTCAACAGACTTATCATCATCAGTCTTGCATTCTCTTGTCGATGTTAATTCTTCAGGTTTTTGATCGGGTACAACTACATAAAAGAAATTGCAAGCCATTGGTATCTCAGAAAAACATATCAATCGACAATATAAAATTAACTACTATGCAATTTTAGTTATGTTTTGAGGACCCTATAGAAAATACTATAGGCTGAAGAAGCCGTTATTTCCTGAAAAAATGCCTGAAGCCCGCAAATATTTTCAAGAAATAACGCCTCCTAAGGCTTCTAATTTCTTAAAAAACTTGAAAATAATCCCCTTGTTTTATATTCAGGCTATTTTATAATCAAACGTATGAGAATGATTTGCTAGTTGTAGTACCGAGTAGTATGTACACTGACACTCATCGCTGCTCTTTGTGATACGATGAAGATGACAAAATTGATTGTTTATTAGTTGTTGTTATTAGGTAGGCTTAACCTCCGGATAGAAAGCATTTTTGTTAAATAGATTAAAATGTATTGTAAACATTATTATGAATTATTTCAACATTGCCTTCTCTTTTCAGTTCTCTTTTTTATAGTCAATGACCTTGTTATATGGAAAAACCTGTGTTAAACAATAAATGATAAATGATAAAGATAATATCACACCTTGTTCTTGGGCCGAGTCCTGTTTATCTTCAGTAGTTTGTTCCAAGCTGCCGTCCACCACTTTTGTTTGCTCTTGCTTAGTAGGTGCGTCTTTGGCTGGTTCGACATCCTCTTTTTCAGTGACATCTGTGTTAAAGAATTAAAAATGAAGTTACATTATTAACGGTACAACTAATGGTAATGTTTGAGGACTCTATGCCCTGTGACTGCAACAATGAATGTAAAAGGTTGTTAAATGACTGACACTGCTAATGTCCTATTAAAAGTAGAGTATGGTCATGCCAATTTAATTTTAATTTCAATGACAATTCCAGGTTTATCAGAAGAAAAGGAATAAATACAGTAATATCATTAAATACAAATGTGCTAGATAATGTGACTGTACAGGAAGATAGGACGTGCAGGATAAGGGAACTTATATGGCAATGGAAATGTACAGGAAAATGGGATTTGTATGATACTCTTAAGGCACAGGAGAAAAAAAAAGTAAGTCCAAACACATACCAGGATTTAAGGATAGTAATTGGAATTTAGTTTATACAATGCTATACACATGTACACCTACTCCAGATACCAAGTCACATTATTTGCAATTTAGATTTATTCATCAAATTAATTCCACAAATGACTTTTGTTTAAATAAAATCGGCCTGGTTGAAAATAACAAATGCTCACATACAGAAACAAATGAAAAAATATTACTAAAAATAACAATAAGAATCACTTTCATGTCAACAAATGCGAACCTCTATTAAGAGCAAAACCATAAGTTATGACAACCCATATCTGACTGAATGCTTTTATTTCTTTATTTTATTTTTATTACATTTTATCCATTTTCTATGTAATGAATGTGTTTTCAGCAAATTTTTTAGGAAAACAAAAATGTGCATAATTTAGTAAAAAAAATGTGCATAATTATGGGAATGTGCAGGATATAGGAATGAGTTTAAAGGATAATGTGATGTTCAGGATAATAGGAGTAAAATTTGAATATACATTATATGAGAATGTACAAGATAATAGAATTGTGCTTTTTATTTCAAATCACATGCCTAAGAGAAAAAAAAAAAAAAAAAAAAAGTTATCATTTTTCAAAGAAAAAATAATTGGTGGAACTTTATATATGTTATGATCAGAAAAATATTTAAAAAAAAAACATTCACAAAAACAAAAATACATTCTGCAAAAAGGGAAAAAAA